TGTGGCTGCAGGGGATGGATGAGCTTTGATGGCCATGCAGGGACAGAGCTGCCTGCACCTCTTGCTGATACAGCACAAGGGATGATTCTCCTCGCTCTTACGGTGGCTTGGGAGCAATGCACCGGTTGCAGGGGGCAGGACATGGCTGGGGCTTCTCTGCAGGCGGGGGAGATGCTGCTCACGGCAGCCCAGGGGAGCCCTGGGGGCTGCTCACCCCCTTTCTCTTGGTGCTCCAGGTCTGTGACTCGCTCCTACTACCGCAACTCGGCCGGGGGGATGCTGCTCTTCGACCTCACCAACCGCGCGTCCTTTGAGAGCGTCCGGCAGTGGCACCGGGAGGTGACGGACACGGTCCAGCCATTCCGCATCGTCTTCTTGCTGGTGGGGCACAAGAGCGACCTGGCCGGGCAGCGGCGGGTGGGCAGGAAGGAGGCAGAGAAGCTGGCTGCCTCGCTGGGGGCACAGTACATTGAGACCTCGGCCAAGGATGCCAGCAACGTTGTCCAGGCTTTCCAGATGCTGACGCTGGCCATCTACCAGGCACTGCAAACGGGGCGGCTGGCTCCCACCGAGGCGTGGGACGGGGTGAAGAGCAGCGTCCCGCTGCCGGCGCCGCTGAAGGCTCGGGCACTGGAGAGGGAAGAGAAGCGGAAGAGATGCTCGTGCTAGAGCTGGGGACGCTGGCAGCCTGTCCCGGCGGGGCTGGGACACACCGGGCTCTGCCCACCGCGATGCAGGGGAGGTGAGGCAGAGATCGAGCAGCCGGGGCGCGGGCAGGGGCAGCGACTGCATTAAACACCCCGTTCACCCCTCTGCCTGCCCGTGTTTTCCTGGGGAAGGGGAAGTGCTGAAGCTGCCCGTGGGAAGGGTGAAGGCCCCGGGTGGGATGGGGCAGCACCCTGCAGGGAAGTGGGTGTCACCCCCGTTGCTCTGTTCTCTCTCCAAACCCCTCTGCAAGGCTGTCCCCATCCCCCGGAGAGGAACCGCAGGCCCTCCCCGCACCCCGCATCCCCCAGTGTTATGAAACCCCTTTTTTGCCCGACCCCTTCACTCAGCGCTGGTCTTCATGCTTGGAAGGGCAAGGGGGTCTGGTTTGAACAGCAGCTCCTCCGGGGTACCGGGGGCTGGAGCAGCCGGTGCACAACTCCACGTCCCCGAGTGCGGCCGCGGTGCAGGAGCAGCTCCCCTCCGCCCCGAGCGCCCGTCGGGGCTGGCCTCGCCAGAGAGGCTGCGTCTTACCACACTCCCTGGGCTCCTTAGCCGGCACCTACGTGAGCGGAGGAGAGAGCCCATACTGGTTTCCGAATTACTTCAGCAAAGGTGGTTTCCCCTGTAGGTACTAGCAGCCTGGGGGGCCAAGGGCCCTGGCAGCAAGGACAGGCCCCGCTCCTGCCCACGGGTGCACAGGAGCCTCCCGGCCATGCAGGGGAGGTTGTGGAGCTGCTGGCTCCCTCCCCCCCGAGGAACGGCCCCTGCGGCTTCTCTGATGAAGGCTGAGCAGAGCAGGTGGGAACAGGCAGAGGGACATGGACTTTCTTTGTAGAATCAGAATCGTTTAGATTCATAGAATCATTTAGGTTGGAAAAGACCCTTAAGATGGTCAAGCCCAACCGTTCCCCTAACCCTGCCATCCCACCACTAAACCCTGTCCCTAAGCACCTCGTCTGCCCGGCTTTTA